CCTTCCTGCTGACACAAGGGTGTTTCACATTCCCACAATAGACTCCATCATCATTATTATGTTTCTCTGTGCTGATTGGCCGAGGTGGTTGTGAGGTCTCACCGTGGCTATTTAGTGTGATAATGGCGTTTGACAACACAGGATACAAACACCATTGTCACACTCCACAGCTCAGGAGGACGGTGTAGAAAGACAGGAGAGAAAGTGACATAGCCTTGTTTTTGCTAATAGTAAAAGTAAATGGCAATATTTTTTTCACCTATGATAGCTGAACTTTTATCTAAACCCTCAGAATGAACCTATGAACAGAAACTTGCACTTAAATGAACAAGGCCTGCAAATGTCGCCCTGTTTTCGCCCTTGTCTTTGGCTCAGCAGCTGGCTCTCGCTCTGGTCATGAGAGGATGTTATCGATTATGGTCTTGTGTTTGCACGTCTGTCAGTGGAGTGGATAGTGACGGGCTTTGAGTTAGTTGCCAAGGCAACATTTCTCATTTTCATTTAGTTTAACTTGTACTAAAATAAGAAAAACTGGAATTAAAAGTTTTAACTAAAATTTTAATGAAAATGGAAAATATAAAAACTAGCCTACTTGAAAATATTCATAAAACCATATCAGTATTTCATTACTACAATAGCTCCGATTTACTGTCACTTTTGATCAATTTAATGCATGCTTGCTGAAAAAAGTATTAACTTCTTAATTTTTTATTTTTTCATGAAGAGGTCCATGGACTGAGAATGGTTTGGTCTTGAACTCTATTTGTTTGAAGCTACTGATGGACACTTGATATATATATAAAAAAATTTTTTTGACGATATATATATACATTTTTTTTTTTTGACATATCCATTCTCAAGTCTTTTTGTGGACAAGTTAACTTACCACAGACTCTGTTCAGTAAAGCTGGTTGATCCACATGACCCTCCATGCTGTAAGAATAGTGAGAGCACTGAAAAAGAAACACTTCACAAAACACAATTTACTTAAAACACTCACACGCACCCATCGTCTCTCCCAGTGATCCAGTCTGTAAGAAAATGAGAAGCAAGTCCGGTCTATGTCATGACTGGTCATTCTACTCTCCTTTAACCTCCATGTATGTACCTACAGAGGGTTTAGTCAAACAGTTCTGTGATAAGCTTGGAGAAGTATTGATCCAGCATGACGTGGGGACGAGGTCACTCACCCAAAACCTGGGAGTGCTGCAGAAAAAAAGACCTTTGAAAGCACCATTTCCTCTTAACACATTAACTGTTTTAATGAGCCTATAACACCTGCAACCATGAGAATAATCATTTAAGACACCTGTGAGAAATAAATAAGGGTCAGACCACCCGAAATGCCTCTTTAAACATGGAATCAGTGATTAAAATATTTAATATAGCCACTCTAGATTTTTTTTTCAGAAGCATGAAAAGGTTCCTACTGTACTGAAACTACAGGCGCCAGCCTAAAGCTTATTCCATTCAATTTCACAAATCGCTCACATAATCATACCTCATTTCCAAGAAGTGTTGACAGACATACTACCAGTTTGTAGTGCAGCAGTTTCCGCTGCTGAAGCTCATTCTGTGTGTCCCGGGCTCTGATGTGATGTTGGAGCTGCAGGTGAGTTTGGCGTTGGACTTGATTGCAGAAAGAGAGCACTTGATAAAGTGTACAGGCCGCTTTTATTTGCTTGTCCTTGGATCTGATAGCCGTCTGATTGCACGTGTGAATGAACTGAGTTTCCTTCACCGCTCAGCAGAGCCTCACACCACGTGTTCAGCAACATTCATGTAAAAATGAACATGATTTGACACAGTCCAATTGTGCTGCATCAACTGTCCGGCAAACAAATATATACGTTTTTGAAATATAATGCATATTAATCATAATTTTGTTTAGTGAATAATATAAGAACATTTACGTGTTAAATAATATGCTGTTACTGTAGCAATAACAAATGTATATATAAAGTAACATTTTAAAAACTTATTTTGGCTTGTCAAAAAAAACAAAATGCAAAAATGATAATATTTTTGCACATTAAAATTATTTCTAATTTACATAAAAATATATATGATATAAAAAATAAATCACATTAAATTTATATTCCTAAGATTAAATAAAGTGCCTTCTGCTATTTTCAAAGTTTTCATAATTATGCTGTCAAAAAAAATAAAAAAATAATTCAGCAAAGACACAATAAATTGAAAAAAAGTGACAGTAAAGACATAAAGATTTCTCTTTAAATAAAAAAAACCGGTTCATTTATTTTAAATAACTTTCTCTTCATCAAAGAATCATGTTTTTTTCCCCCCAACAAAACAATTTAACGGCACAACTGTTTTCAATATTGATAAGAAATATTTCTTGAGGAGCAAATCAGCATATTCGAATGATTTCTGAAGGATCATGTGATGCTGAAAATTCAGCTTTGCTTCACAGGAATAAATCATTTAAAATATATTCAAATAGAAAACTGTTCTTTCAAGTTGTAATAATATTTCACAATATTACTGTTTTTATTTAATTGTTTTGATCAAATCAATGCAGCCTTGGTAAGCATAAGAAACTTAAAAAAAATAAAAAATAAAATAAATGTTTTTAAATCTTACCACCCCAAACTTGTGTGTGTGTGTGTGTGTGTATATATATATATATATAAGTACTAATATATGTATACACTGCTGTTCAAAAGTTTGGGATCAGAAAGATTTTTACGTGTTTTAAAGAAGTCTCTTCTGTTCACCAAGGCTGCATTTATTTGACCAAAAATACAGAAAAAACAGCAATATTGTTATATATTATTAACATTTAAAATAATGGTTTTCTATTTTAATATACTTTAAAATATTATTTATTTCTGTCATGCAAATCTGAATTTTCATCAGCCATTCCATCAACAGTCTTCGGTGTCACATGATCCTTCAGAAATCATTCTAACATGCTGATTTATCAATATTGGAAACCATTTTGCTGCTTAATATTTTTTTTAGAACCTGTGATACTTTTTTCAAGGTTTATTTGATGAATAAAGTTAAAAAGAACAGCATTTATTTAAAATAAAAATCTTTATCACTTTTGATCAATTGAACACATCCTTGTTAAATTGCATTTATTTCTTTAAAAAAAAAAAATAATAATATGTATACATTACATTTTTTTACTAATATTACTAATATATAGTAATATATATTATATTACTGACCCCAAACTTTTGAACAGTAGTGTATATTGTTACAAAATATTTCAATTTTAAATGCTGTTCTTTTTAACTTTTTAGCATTGAAACGCCAGAACATGTAAAATTGCATATCTGTAAAAACAAAACCCCCCACAATAAAGCAAAATTCTCTGTCCTCTTGTTTGCTTTTCCTTCGACTTCGGACAATCCAGTAAATGACCGAACAAACTTTATCTCAACCTTCAGCTTAAACTGAAACCTAGAACAGACATGTATTTACAAACCCGATTGCCAACACTTACAGAAGTAGAAATTACATTTTTTTACTAATATTACTAATATATAGTAATATATATTATATTACTGACCCCAAACTTTTGAACAGTAGTGTATATTGTTACAAAAGATTTCAATTTTAAATGCTGTTCTTTTTAACTTTTTAGCATTGAAACGCCAGAACATGTAAAATTGCATATCTGTAAAAACAAAACCCCCCACAATAAAGCAAAATTCTCTGTCCTCTTGTTTGCTTTTCCTTCGACTTCGGACAATCCAGTAAATGACCGAACAAACTTTATCTCAACCTTCAGCTTAAACTGAAACCTAGAACAGACATGTATTTACAAACCCGATTGCCAACACTTACAGAAGTAGAAATACCATGAATGTGTTTACCCTGAAATCAATCAATCCAAACCCATCTGATACCATTTTAAGTCTTATTTAGTTGATTTCCTGTCATTTATGCTTATGGAAGATAATCAAGTGTTTCTAGTGTCAACTAGCCAAACATTAAGACTCTTCGGATAAATCAGTAATACGACAGCACACCTAAATTCCATTTATCAGTTTATTTTGAACCAAGTTATACGAATCGCAAGGTCCTGTTGTGAGCAGGAACCAGACAGTAAATGTTCCTCATCAATAAAAAAAAGAACTGTCCCTACAAAAGAGGAAGGGTCATTTATAACAATAACAATAATCATAATATTATCACAAACCTACAGAGGCCCGAAAAGTGTGAGTGGGGAGGCGTACAGATAAAAGACTGGAAATGAAAATAGAAAAAGAACCAGTTTGAAGTCTTACTCCAGGCGGAGCTCGTTCCTACAGAGCTGATCCAGATTCACACTGAAGAACCAGACTGACTCCAGATCAGCTGTAGGGACGAGCTGTGATCTGATATGTTAGCAGCAGGCCGATTATAAACAAGAGATATTGCACCAAGGAACTGAGTGCTTTTAAAACAACAAAATAGATTCAAGTTCATGAAAAAAACAAACAGGTGACATGACCCTAGTGTGTGATCAATAAAGTGCCCTTTTAGGTACAGTGGTGTTAGAAGAAACAAGATAGACCGAAAGAAAGAAAGTTTACATCCTGAAAGTCTACAAGACTTGCAGTGTTGAATCACAGCGCTTTTAAGATAGCTTCACTCTGTCGCTCTTTAATACTTCAAACAGATTTAACACGTACAGTAAAAGTCCAATCGCGTCTTTCCCCGAAAACAAACTCATTTACAGCATTATGAACAGGTAGAATCATAATAAAGATAAGAACAATACTTATTACAATTGAAGAAAACCCTCTCAGACAAACTCATTTACATGTCCGATGCATGTCGACGTTTCGATCTTTGCTCTCAACCAAGAAGGAGAATAGCTTTATAATTACTACGTAATCATATTGAAACACGCAATTTCCAGAGAAATGTGGCTGCACCTTAACAGCACACCTATTATTCATGTCTGTAGAACCAATTATGTGATGAATTCTTGCTTAATCTGTTTTTTTTTTTTTTTTTTTTTTTTTATTTTTTTTTTTACTTTTTTTTTTTTTTTTTTACCCACAATGATATGGATGATATTGAATTGAATATAGCCAGGCCACTGATGCATTTCCGATAACGTTGTTTAAAATAGTAAACCACATTGTTAGTACAAATATCCGTTTACTCGGTAAGAATGATAACAGTATCATAATAACAGCGATAATAATAAACTATAAAAAACAATTCCCGTTGCTTCTTGGCATTGCAAAAGAAGATTAAAAAAATCCTGGACGAAGGAAGGAAAGAAGGGAAAAATTGGCGTACTTTGCGGGATAAGGGAGGATGAGGATGCGCCCTTCATCCTGGCTGTGATTCCTAAGGTTATCTGGTGTTAGTAAGACCTGATAAGACAGTTAATTGTTGCCTCTTCACTGAACTTATATTATGTTTGTGAAATTAATACGGAAATGGGATTTTTTTTTAATGCTGTATCAAGGCCACGCCCACTCTGAGGCCACACCCAAATACTGATATTTCTTATTTACCATCAATATAAAAGTTACCACGACCTCAGAGCTGGATTTGAAAATAAAACGTGTTAGGAGACAGCATGATTTGTGGGATACTGCAGATAACGCCAGTTTATCGTTAAAACGGTTTGGCGTTAAAACGGGTTCACAGCCAATGCCGTTCCAGCTAGACAGATTACATGCATATACTGTGCTGACATCACACACCTGCAACCGCTGGGATCTGGCTGTACAATGGCAACTCGAGAGTGTGTATATGTATGTATAGACGTGTGTGTGTGAGTGTTGTACATGTCTTTGCTCGTCGGTTGCGTTAGGAGATCGCGTGGATATAAAGGGAGGGATTTCTTTAGTCGACGCCCTCGAAGCCTTGAGCGTTTTCCACCGCCATCAGAAGCTTCTCTCGCAGGTCTTCAAACGACTCGTACGTCGGGAGGTCCAGACGATTAAAGCTGCATTGGGAGAAAACATATTATCATTGAGGTCAATTAGATGCAAGAATTAGATTGCTTTTAAATTTGAAGAGAGTGACATCTTTTCAGAATATTCCCAAAATCTTTTAGCATTTGGTATATTTCGGTATTTTCCCAAAACAAAACAAAACAAAACAAAACAAAATAAAATAAAATAAAATAAAATAAAATTTAAAATTAAAATAAAATAAAAAAATATTATCTTCTCCGGGAGATGAAGGGAACATACATAGTTGCTTGAGTAAATAAAGCGGTCAAATCCCTCTTACCAGGTGTGAGCACGAGGGAGTTTGTCAGGTGTCCCCCACTGCTCGATAGTAAACAACTGCGGCCCATTGGAACCTGCAAAAGATCACGTGACTCGTCAAGGACCAATTAGGAATGGAGCCAATTCATTATACAAGTCTCAAAGGGAAACGCTAAGATCTGAAAACAGAGAAAGCTGCTACAAACACGTTAAATCGTCAAGAGAAATGATAGTACAAAAACAACGCCAGCGACATTTTCTGAAAAACATACGTACATTTACAAAATAGCACACACATACACACATATATGTATTGTATTATATTGTATAATATTTATATTATATTATATGTGGCACAGTAGAGCATTATTTACCGTAGAGTTCAGCAAAGCCGTTCATTGGCACTCTGGATGTTCCAGTGACAAACTGCAAAAGTCTGATCCGCTTTTCGGCATCCATTAACAACACGGCCTGAGCAGAGATGGAGAGAGACATAGTTAATACCAATAACTTTCATCTGTTTATACTAGCAGTAAGGAAAACATTTTCCAGGAAATGAGTTCTCAAAACAACCATGTAAGGGAACAAAGGTAGTTTTTCTCTCAAAATAAATACCCTTAGAATTCCATTCAAATAAGCATCAGTAGAAAAACTCCACTTAAAGTTGATCTACTTCATGTGCAAGTTGACTGCATTAGGATATGGTTGCTTGATTGTTAAAAATTATTCATATTCTATATCTGAATGTATTAATCACAGAATTCAATAATTTTTAAATAAATTTAGATGTATGACTTTTTTTTAGTGTTTGGCATTTTTGCCATATTTTTATTCACAGAAACAGTTGTGAAAGCACATGAATTTATGGGGATGAGAGGAGGGAAGAGGATCAGAAAATCGGTCTCTCTAGATGTGCAGCTCTGATCTGACAGATTTACTTTACAGCTAAAGAAATTTGTGCCTAATTTCACACATACTTGAAATCAAGTTTCAAATATAACACATTTGCTGCATATATGCATTGGAGAGTAAATCTGTATGTATGTTTGTGTGTGTGTGTGTGTGTTTGTAGAAAGAGCAAGTCTGGCTCCAGACTGCTGATAAGAAGTTCATAATGCGCTCCGTGACTCTTTCATCAGAGTAAACACTCGATGAGCCTCACATCAAACAGACTTTGATCGGTAACTGCCCGCAGTGCACTTGGCATGGGGTCAGACACACTCATGCATACAAAAGTTTGGACACACTTGACTGAATTTGTTTCTCATGATCTTTAAAATCTTTTGATCTAAAGTTTTGTTTAAATGTCTGAAACTAATTTTGAAGAAAATATGCATTCATGACTAAATATAAATTTCTTTGCAAAACTAATTTTTTTTTTTTTTATAAAATACATTAGTTTGAGGAAATCATCCCAGGATGCAAACCTGAAGTTAATATCAAACATAAGATTGTTTTGATTTGTTAAACATTTTTTTAGTCACTACATTTGTATTATTTCATAGTTCAGATGACTTTACTATTGTTATAAACACACACAAAACACACAGGCTACGTGATTCTCCATACCTTCCAGAACCACTGGATCACAGGGTGATTAGGACAGTAGCCATTCTTATAGACGGTGTGCTGCCTCCAGTCATTGACGTCCACGTCACCCAGACCACACATCAGCAGCTGGAGACAGAGAATACAGCACAATAAACACACACAGACCAAAATCAACTACTGCATTTCAGAAAGCATTATAAACACAGTTTAGGGTCGGTAAGATTTTTGTGTTTGTTTGTTTTTGAATGTTTTTAAAATACATCTCTTATGCTCACCAAGGCTGCCTTTTTGATAAAAAATAAAGACAGTAATATTGTGAAATTTTATTACAATTAAAAAAAAAAATTGTAAAACTCTTTTCTATTATATTTTTTTAATATATATTTAAAAAAAAAAAAGTATCCTGTAATGGCAAAGCAGAATTGTCAGCATCATTACTCCAGTCTTCAGTGTCACACGATCCTTCAGAAATCATTCTAATATGCTGATTTGGTACTCAAGAAAAATTATTCTTATTATCAATAAAAAAAAAAATTAAAAAAAAAGTTGTGCTGCCTAATATTTTTTTGTGAAAACAATATTACATTTTGATCTTTTGTAACATTTTAAATGTCTTTAGTGACACTTTTGAGTGTCCTTGCTAAGTAAAAGTAATAATTAAAATTTAAAAAAAAGAATTCAAATTAAAAAAAAAATCATACTGACCCTTAACTTTTTAACAGTTGTTTGTGTGCGTGCATGTGTTTATGTGTATATATAATAACTCCTGTATAATATGGTGTATACTATATAGTACCCCAAATGTTTCATATACTTAAAAGTACATTATTTTATTTGATTATTTTCTTTATTTGAAAATAGGAATAAGATAATTGCTAAACTATAAATCAGGTATTAGTACAAAAAAACCCCACTTCACATCGTAAAAATCATGCAGATGATACATTGCAGTATAAATAGTACAGCAGCAGAACCTCTACTGGCTGACATTTATACCATAATATATACTGCACAGTCTGTCTTTATTAGTTTATTATTATTTGCCACAATGATGGGTTTAAGTGTGGCTTTCCCCCACTATGCAAAAAACAACCTGAACAGAAATGCATTGCTGTGTGCTCATGTGAGAAGAGCCAATTCATTCAACAAAATACAGTCTTTATATATATATATATATTATATATATATATATATATATATATAATTCTATGAAAGTCTTGGACATGGAGGACTCAGTCTCCATGACAACGGCAGACACCGAGTAATACTATGTGGTAAGTTGTTACCTCCAGTTCGTTTTCATCAAAAATCTTTATCAAGTCAATGAGAATGATATATATATATATATATATAGGCACACATGTAAATATATAGATAAATAGACAGACAGACATATGGATATAGATAGATAAATAAAGATAGACATAAAATCTAACAGATTGACATAGGCAGATAGACAGATAAAAAACAACAATAAAATAAACAGATTATAAAATAAAATAAAAATATGTGACGCAATAAAAAAAATCTCGATAAGCAAAAAATAGAGATGCCTGTTAAATCATGTCACAACTACAAAACACCATTAAAACTGAACTAAGAATTGCAAAGGAAGTTAGTAAGTATCAGGGCTCCAGACAAAAAAATCGAGTAAGGAGCCATTGGCTCCTATAAGAAAAAAACTTAGGTGCCAAATTATTTTTTTAGGTGTCACAGAATAAACATGTTTTATGTTATTATTATTATTATTTTTTTACATTTTAACATTTCAATCATACGGTCATGTGTTTATGTCTCATCTTTTCTTGACTTTATCAGCATTTTAATCCATCTTGTAGATGACCTGAGAACTAAGGTTCACTTAAAGTGGGAACTAAATGTCTTTTCCAACTTGAAATATACAGTCACAAATAATTGTTCATTACACAGAATCTGTACCAATATCGTGGACCATATAAGCATCACTTGGCCACTGAGTGTAGTTTGGGCTCCTCCTCAATGCATCCTGTAAATGTTGTCATACACTCTTAAAAATAAAGGTGCTTCACGATGCCATAGAGAAAGAGATGGTTCTTTAAAGAACCTTTGACTGAATGGTTCTTTGTGGAACCAAAAATAGTTCTGTGAAGAAGTGTTCTAAAGTGTTTTAAGTGTATGTCTTTCACACTTTCAGTCTGTTTTACTTAATTAGTAAAATGCAATTTTATACTATAGTAGTAAAGAGAAAGATTAAATGGGTTCACTTGCCGCTTAAACTGAGGCGCTAAAGCGATCACGTCTGCCGCATTAAAGAGCGCCAAAAACAAAACTGTATTTATTGTTTGAATTTCGTTATGAATTTGGAATAATTTTAAAGCTGGTACTTTGTTTATTAAAAAGTAACAAAGCACAAAGCTTTTTGCGATTACTGGACGGCAAGTGCGCTTTAAATAATATGAAGAATGCTGCTGTGTGGCAGAGATGAGGACTGTTTGAAACTCTTTTTTCCACTAAAACTTTGATGCGCATCGTCTCAGTTTAATACGTGAACATAACAAAAGATGTGATCGCAAAACAATCAGGAAAAAAGGCATTACATGCAAATTTTTAAGTTATAACATGAAAAAAGGCTATATATAGTCGCCAGTGGCGACCTCAGCAAAAACTTCACTCGCAAATGAATATTTTTGGTCGCAAATGGACGCAACCGTTTTAGTCGCAGTCTGGAGCCCTGAAGTATGACGTGCTAGTAAAGCCTCTGGGATGCACACTAAAAGAGGGTATGGAAAAGAGGCGAGAAGTGGAGGTGGGTGGTTCAGGATTTACGTGCCAGTTTGAGCAAATCTGCCAAAGTAGTTCAAACTTGACAAAACACAAAACTGTAGTGCACAAACACATGGACACTTACGTGGCCGAGTACTCAAACAGCCCATAATAAGGGTTAAACATCTCCTTGGAGAGCAGGAAGAACCATTCTCTGGCCACGCCCCCATAGTCCAGGCCTTTCTCCGATTCAAACTCGATCCACAGACGGGCCTTCAGACTGTCGGGTCTCTTCATGGACATGATTCGTCTGTACGACTCCTCCAAGATGTTATTCCTGTGCAGCTTCATCTCAAAACGGTTCGGAATATCTGCCTGTGGGGGAGAGAGAGATTCGAGTAACATACAGATGCATCCTGGAATTCATGATATTTGGATGATTAAAATCACAAAATAATAACCTGAAGCTCACGGTTAGTGACTAACATTTAAATTTAATATGAAGGCTTGAAACAATCACAGCACTGTAAAGGAATGCGTTTCTGTCGTGTGAAGAACAATTTAACACCCAATAAAAAAAAAAAAGAAGAAAAAAAAAAAAGCGTTCTTCACTCCTCGACAGGGATTTCACACGGAATAAATTAGAGTGTCTAGGAATACAGTATGTGACAGGAAAGAGCTCATGGTAATGTCTCTGAAAACGCTTCGTTTCTTACCGGTTTCTTTAACTTCTTTCTGAAGTAGTCATACTTCTGCTTGAATTCTCTGGAATACGGCACCGCCTAAGAGAAGACAAATAAATAAACAACTGAATACAATAAAACTAAAACAAAAGAACATCAACACACACACACACACACACACACACACATATATATATATATTAGTTTAAATATATATATATGTATGTATATATGTATATTTTTTAAACGAATAAAACATTTAAACAAAAAATTGCCTCTATTTTGCATTGTGACATAGCTTTTTAATTTTATTCTATTGTAAAAACAAGTAATTTTTATGTTGTAATACCTCTAATTTAATCAGTTAAAAAAAAAAGGATTCTATAAAATTTTTAACTGTAATGCAATAAAAATTTCAATATTGCAGTAATGATCATTGTGAAAAATGAGAATTATTTATTATTACTATTAATAATAATACTAATAGTAAAACAATCAAAACTAAAAATTAGCCATTAAAAAATTTTAATTTTGCATTTTAATTGTATGTGTAATCGTAAGTATTTTTTTCACCTACTCCTGACAAATCTCCTTGTATTCTCTACCAATTTTTTTTTTTATAACAAAAAGCCACAAGTGTTATAGGAGAACAGAGACAGAATAATAGAAAGACTGTGACAGAAAATAAAAGTACACTCACAGGTCCAGTTATGGCGGGACTCTGGAGGCGAGGGTCTTCCCACTGCGTTTTTTTGGTGTCTGAGGGGGAGAAGAGGAATTGTATAAGCCTCACGTTTTTCATTGCTATTTGGTACAGATTAAATTTACAGAAAACTAGCTGCCCTTTTAAAAGAAATTTGTTAATTTAACAAACTTTCAATGTGGTGGTTCAACATAAATCAGTGTAGACACCACTGGACCTGGCAAACACTCGAGGTCGTTTGTGAATGTGTGGAGCTGACAAACAAAACAGGTGTACATCGACCACGGCAGCAGACTCAGCAGTGCTTGAATACACCCGTGTTGTGACGGACACCGAGGGCATGTCCGAGTTTAATGATGCATGAGTAAAATGATCTCCCAACTAAGTATTACCTTAAACATCTAAATAGATATTGATCACACATCACAGAATAAAGTTACTGAGACAAAACAACAAATAGGAACTTGAGAGCATATCTGTGAATGGAACCTGCATTAATGTTTGTGTAAAACAAGGCGGCAAAACTATGCTGGATTCCATCTCATTTTGGCCAAATTTTAAAGCAGAGTTTCAAACTCCAAAATTGAATAAAAACATCTGCCCAGTATTTTCTACCCAGTATTACAGTACGTTTACAGTGATGTAAAGACATTCAAAATTAAATAAAAAAAGAGAGTAGTTTTATTGTTAAAAACTATCGCTGTCAATAGCATAAAATAATTGTAATTTCTGACCATATAAAGCAGAACGAAATGTTGAATTTTGTGTTTTATTTTAAATATATTTCTAAATATATTCAAATAAAAAACTTCTTTTAAGTCATGTATAAAACTTAATTGCTGCCAAAAGTATCAAATATTTAGAATACTTTGGAAAGGAAAATGAAAAATTATTTTAGACCATAAATAGTGTATGTTAAATATAATATTTTTAATAACTTAAAGTGATAGTTCACCCCAAAATGAAACCTGTATGAGATTCTTTCATCTGTTGAACAAAAGGAGATATTTTGAAGAATGTTGGTAACCAACAGTTGATGGTCCCCATTGACTTCCATAGTGTTTTTTTTCCCCATACTATGGAAGTCAATGGGGACCAGCAACTGTTCATTTAACCACATTCTTCAAAATATCTTCTTTTGTGTTCAACAGAAGAAAGAAATTCATGCAGGTTTGGGGAAATTATGTCACTTGAGTAAACAACTTGAGTAAATGTCACTTTTCATTTTTGGATAAACATGCCTTTAAGTTAACATGTTAGCTTAAGGTTTAAATTTTGCACTCAAATGTGTCTGCTTATTCTGTCAATAAATGAGTGTCCTTACTATGGTCGATGTAAAAAGTTCTCCCGTCTGCGTGCACTCGTTCCTCCCACCCAGGCTGTGGAGATTCAGAGAAAAAGAGAGACATTAAGATCAGACGAAACCACCAGACCTGATACACCACTGATACATCAACACAACAACTGAAACAGATAATGTGACGGGAGGAAGGAACAGAAACATATGACGATTCCTCGGTTCAGTGTGGGAGAGCTTCCACGACAGGGTTCCACTAGCATGCAGAAGAGACATAATTTATTCACTCTCACTCTGACAAACACACACGTACGCATTCACATACTGCCCCTCTTTTGAGACCCCCGAGAGCTGCAAACCCACGTCGATACCAACATCACAAGAAACCGCCAGGCCTGACAAAAATCACAGCCAGGGATACACATCCAAACAGGCCAACAATTCATAACCCACGACATCAAGGGAAGCTGTTTGATGACCCACACATGGGATCCGGAGAGGGGACAAGACCTTCGTTTACGAATGAGAGACTCTGAGCCAGCACTGAAGACAAGCGCTCACGTGCTGAATGGGCATCAACCAAAACTGGCATCGAATGAAGCACAGGATGCACACTGTGCAGGGGTGGAGGATGCAGAGAAGAGGAAGGATGACGGATGGATAAATGATAATCAACACAACCAGACACGAGATACGTGCAGGGGGAAATATAAAGAGAGAAAGATGGAGACAGACAGGACAAACAGAGCTCAAAAGATGGGTTCTGGAAGTAAAAATCCAGTTTAGGGTTGCATTGATGTGTATCTTTTAAAACACACACCTACCAAGAGTTCTGCAATTGTAAAGTAATGATATACTGTATGTATGTATATATACATATATAAAATAAAATAGGTAGGTAGGTACTAAATTCGGCCACTGGTACCAGCTGAGAATCACTGATACACAAAATAATGTTCTTTTTAGCAGCATCATATGACCCCTTTAATGTATTATATTAACCACAAATGACCACAGAAATGGGTAATCAGTCAGGCTAGCAGAAACTACATAACATTTGCTATTTACCATTTTAATTAATGTAGCACTAGACCATAAAAGATAATAACAATAAAATAATTTAAAAGGACACAAAACCCAGATTACTTGTATTATTTACATTGATTCATGAGAACAGTTCATTAATTTCCTCATAAGCGCACAAGTTTTTTTTTTTTTTACCTCTTTTTCCTGATTATCAAATATTTTTTGCTTTTGAAACCGATGTTATGATTTATCTTGTTGGTTTGGTTTAAAGCTTAAAAACTTAATATTCTGATATCCCTATGAAGCTAGTTCATGCATTCATGACCTCTAGTCATTTAATAATTGCTGTTAATAGTGTTCATCGTCTGTTTGATTACGTCTTTAATTGATTTTTCCGTACATTTCTGCCATATGTACATTAACTGACAGTCACCATTGATAAGCTACCACTAAATATTGTAGAAACTTAATTTGCTGTAAAGTTGCTTTGCAATGATTTGTATTGTGAAAAGCGCTATACAAATAAACTTTAATTGAATTGAATTATGAAAATGAATGGGAAAAATACTTCTGGAATGAAGACTGCTGAAAAGTGGGCAGTCAATATTGAACCAAAAAAAAGAAATCAGAACATCAGAAATCAGAAAAAAGACTGACAAAGTCTGACAGTAAGAGTGAAAAGCAGGAGTAAAACAGAAAGGGAAAAAGAGGGACAGTCATCCATGCCAGCAATGATAAGAACGGTGGAGAGGGAGGACAGGCTGGTGGGCAGGCAGGTAAACACGCAGGCAGAGAGAGGACCGACCTCCTCTGGAAGATTCTGTCACAAACAGCATCGAGCGCAGAGCGCACCATGTTCCCCCATGCCACCAAAAGAGAAATCACACACACACACCACCAGCTTGTGAGACAGAGCTACAGTCAATGCAGTGGGAATCATTTATACAGAGTTTTTAAAAAGAAGAAAAATCATATACAAAATGTGTGAATGTACCAGTTGTTACTGTTAACTAAAACTACTAATATCAATTTAAATAAAGATAAAATAAAATAAAATATAAATATTAGATTATAAACTTAAACGAAAATTTGTGATGTTGCTTTGGCAACTAATTGAAACAAGTTAAAGTACTAAAATTCTTAGACATTTGATATAAGAGTGTGTAATAAAAAAATCAATGTTTTGAAATCACAGAAATGCATATATTTGCATATGTACTTTTAAATGTACTTGCATGGCATTTTCAACATTACATGAAAACAAGCACGAAAATAGATGTTTATTAGATTAGTCCCTGTTTGCTGGCACGTATTTCCACTGAAAACCTGAGAAGAGAAGGTGTGATTACCAAACACTGGCATCTAAGTATCTCTCCTAGGTGGAAAAAAAACTCCTCACAATCTCATCATACTGTATGAGATGCATACTGCAACAACTCTTGCTAAAAGATGAGTCAAAAACCAAACTGTTCTCAAACACATCTAAAACGATAAAAAGCTTGTGCTCACTGGAGATCATTTGTGCTACAGTATCACCAGGGATGCATTATTCCTTGGGTTCAAAAATTAATTTTAATTTGACTTTTTTTTTTAATATTTACTGCTCATAAATATAAATATTACTTTAAAACATATTTTTGTCTATATATAAACAGGATTATTTATTATTTAGAATATTGGAATATTTAGAATATTTTTGCACCCTTGTGAGGTACTTGTGATAAGCCAGACTCTGAAGTGAAATGAGGTGACAACACAAAACGTCATTCGCTTCTCCTATTTCCATTTAAATTGAGTACATTTCACGTATTGCCACATGGAGTTCCGTAGGGAAAAAAAAAGAACACTGTTAATACACAGATAAACTTTGCTACACAAGTCACAACAGCTTTTCTATAGCAAATCCTTTTATATCTGGATACAATCCTGCATATTGCTGTTATTGTAAATTGTATTGTGTTGCATTTCCTTATAAAGTTACCAGCCAACCAGCGAGCATTGCATTTACTTGCCAAAGGCAATTTTGGCTCTTATCAAGTGTTCATTTTGGACTGATTTTATTACTGTTCTTGGACAAATTTCATTATAGGTATAAAAAAAAAAAAAAAAGATCTCAGATGAGCTAATCCACTGTCAAATTTTTGTAGCATTGTTCTTTTACAAAACAGCTTGAGGACATAGTTCATCAACAAAGAAATCCACAAAACACCACAGCCTGCTGTTGTGTTATTAGTTACGGTTTTCCCATTCAATTGTCAGACTTAATCCTATTTTTTGCTTTGCAGATTGAATTCGTTTCGCGATTCTCATATGACATCGCTGTGTCACAAGACAAGGACACATGTCACACAAGGCTGTTGAAAGAGCTGGGATTGTGGGTAATATTGCTCAGCACCACTCTGTTTATACTCACAGGAAGTGGGCCAAGGTCGCCAGGGTCCAGGGATGCTTTTGTCCTCATGTGAACGGGATACTTTAAGCGAGGATCTTCCTGAAAAGAGAAAAAGAGAAAGAGAGAAAGAGAGAGAGAGGTTGAGACATCCTCAAATTTTCCCAGAAGGCTTTATCCTCATTTAGCAGTAAATTGCATTTGCTGTCTGCTGCCAAGATGCAGTTCTTCTGACAGTAAGGAAGTAATACTGGAATGATTGTTTCTTTTTCGTCTCATGGGGAGATTATGCAGTAATTACACATGGTGAACTTTTTAGTCTTCTCTGTGGACATTTCAAAACCACAAGCAGGATTTAATGAAGACATACTTTGTAAACCACAACGTACTATTATAAGCAATCGTGCAAATAAGAGAAAATCAATTTTTTTCATCGTAAACCTGTCCAATTACAAACAACCTCAAAAGAGGATGCAAAACATTTGAGACAGAAACGGACAAAGGCGAGTCTATGCTGGGGGAAATTAGGGCACAGGAGAGAAGCTGCAGTTCCTCTATCAGACACCAGATGGCACACTGATTCTCAGCGTATCAGGTCTGCATCACCCAGGGCCTCCTTCCAGCTATGGGGCACTGAAGTGTGCAATTATGAGCAAGACTGTGTGTGTTGGTGTGTGCGTGCGTATCTGTGAAAGTCTTTTTTCCCCAAATACCTTTCACGCATCTTAACGTAGGCAAAAGAGAAACATTTAAAATATCAGATCTTACTTGTAAACATTTGAGAAAATGGCAACCACTAAATGTATTATTATTACTGATTATTTTTATTATTATTATTTTAATAAATTAGAAGTTTGCATTGGAGACAGCATTATTTTAGTATAACTGATATACTATTATAGTTTTTGGTAATGTTTTGAATTTTTTTTTATATTTTCTGTTTTTATTTAAATTTTAGTTTAGTTTTAAGTGTAGTATGTATATGTATATATATATATATTAACTACTAAGTTAGTAACTAACTAGTTAGCTTTATTTTAGTACTTCAACATACATATTTTATTTCAGCTAGTTGCCAAAGCTATTCTCATTTATTATTGATTTAGTTTTATATTTTTTTATATAAATATAATTTTTTATATGTTTATTTTATTTTTTATTTTATTTAAAGTAAAAAGAGTTATTTTAACAACCCTAATTGGAGACACATTTGAGAAATATATAATAATGTTTATACACATTTTAAAGTAATTATAGCATTAAGCAATAAAAATAGACTACAACAATAAAAATTGCACCATGAATATTATAATATTCATTCATTCATTATGCATGCATAAAATAAAATAAAATAAAATAAAATAAAAAAATAAAATTCTGTGAAAACTCTGCAGCTGAGAGTAGACAGTGCAGGTGAAGCCAACCAGTCAAGCTTCAGGTCAAACTGCTGACAGTATTTGTATCGTAGTAAACAAATGCTTAATGATGAGATATAAATAGATATTAGCAGCTGCATATAAACCATAGTTATGTCAGCAAATGGAACTGCAGCACTGTTCCAAAACCTAAAAAGCTGCCGTGCTCCAGCATCTCAAAACAGTACACTTATAACTACTATGATTACAACAGGGTCTGCCATTACCATGCTACTAAGCCTGATTTTTAATTAGGTAAAGCTATATATAAATAATTTATAGTGAACATTTCATCTTTTTCACTCACGGCCATCTTGCATTTTTTTCCTGAAAGGTCATTATTATCTGGGATTGCCCTCACCATGAACTTCACTAGGTTTGGAAGAGATTTCGTGAGTGTTTGTCTTACCCATGTGGTGGTTCTGCCGTTATGGTCGATGAAGAACGGCCGTCCATTGGGTGCTATTCTCATTTCCCATCCAGGGGGCAGGAAGCTCTGGTTTGCTTTATGTTGGGATTTGGGTGAGCTGTAGGGAGAGGGCTGCGGGGACTGAGGGTTGGAAAACGTGTCCTTTACTGCTCGCCGTATCTGGGCGTTATTGGCTCCCTGCAAAAGGAAACAGAGCCAATGTTAATTATTTCCCTGTTTGTCGGACTCTATTATTTAGTTTTATAGCTCTTGTGTGTAATTTGAATTTTGTGTAAGAAAGACTTTTAAGAATGGGAAATGTCAAAAAATTGAAAAGATTTGGAAAACGCAGTACGTGTTAATGAGGCGGCACGCTGTTATTTAATCCTGCTAAAATTAATTAGATCACACAACTCAGGAGGATTTCACCTCTGGCCGTCTTTCTCTCTCTTTTTTTTTCTTTCCCAAAAACAAATGTTTCCCTTTCTACACTTTAATTAAAAGTCACATGGCCCTGTGCGACCCTGATCATTTATAAATACAACCCAGTATTTCTTTATGTAAACCTTCATCATTATTTCATGGAAGTTAAAATGCTGTCATTAAACTTTCAATTCCATACGATCAAGCACTTATTGAAAATCTACAAATGATTTTAACAGATGTTATAAAATGATTAAAAGCTTGTTAATGCACAACACTTTTGCTGCTACTGAGGTGTGATATGGGTAAGGTTAGGGACAGGTTTGGTGGTTTGGGTAGGTTTA